GGAGGTTTTAACCTTGAAATGTAAAACCTAAAAAATACATTAGAATGATTGGATTAATTTTTGAATATTTAACTCAAAAAAAAAAAGAAACAAGCAGATAAATAATTAGTATTGTCAGTAAACTTATACAAAAATTGATATGGTAATTATTCTATAAGACTAAATTGGCTTGTAAATATGTATGTGCATCCAAATAATAAACTGATATATTTTTTTTAACATGTAAATATCCAAATAAAAATTAAACCAATTAGATATTTTGCAACATGTCAAACTAGTTAAATACATATAATTAAATAAAAATTCACAATATAAATATTTCAAAATTATATCAAAATTTAAATATAAAAATAAATACTACAAGTTTTTAAAATATTTTACTTATCACATCATGCCAGATAACAAGAAATTATTTACCATCTCAATATAATCATATGACAGGAATTTGTTACTAATTTTTTTTTTTTCTTAGTTATTTTCCAGATTTATTAGTTACTTCCCGGGTCTCTTTATTTATTCCAAAATTTTAAAATATAAATAAAAACAAAGATATATAATAAAATAACTAGCAACATGATTTTCTGTCATATTATCATATGAAGATAAATAATTTATTTATTTTATGTCAAAGAAATAATTGAAATATCTTTAGTAATATATTTATAGGTATAAATGTCAATATGCTACTGGAGAGATATTTTACTATTCATAGTACACTTATACAAGTTTATAAAATTGAATGTCTAGGTTATGTAAAAGTCTCACATAAATCAATAATTATATGAATCAATTAACTTGAACAAGATTTTTAATAAATATAATAAAATAAAATAAAATAAAATAAATAAATAAAATATAAAGGATATGTTATTATCTAAAAATTTTTATATTCTTTTTTGATTCTATATTGTGCAATATTATAGAGCATATTTCAGAATTGAATGCTGAAAATTATGCAGATGATCAAGAAGCCTGTTTAGAAAATTTTTTGATCATTTTGATAATTTTGTAGAATGCTTTCAAATTAATGATATTATTGATATAAATAAATTACCTTTTGGTACAATATTAATTAAGCATGATAGCAATCCTCCTCATAGTAAACCCACTGAAGGCATTGAATATAGTATTCCATCAAGTACTAACTTCTATAAGTAGGTGCAAGAGTTTAGTAAATCAACTGGAATAGCTTATGTAAAATGCAATATTGGGTTCGGGTTCCATAGCTTAATGGATAAGCTCCCGTCCCCCACAGACAAGGTCGACGGTTCGAGTTTGGCTGGAGGTAAAATACTCT